CTCTACACTCGGGCGAGAGTGCAGAGCTTCAGCTCAGATGAAGGAAGTTGCCCATAAAATAAAACTAAAATGTAGATGAAAATAATATGTAGGGGAGAGAAGAAAAACAAGAGAAACTTGTTGTATATTTTCCTTATTATTTTGAGCTCAACATATGGATATATATATATATAGGGTTGGAAAAGACGTTACAAAACCCGTAATTAATTCTGTAACGTTCGTCATAAATTTTGTAACGTTCCCCATAATTATATATCCGTTACACATATTTTAATTGCATGTTTTAATTACAATATTTATTATAATTCATGAAGGCAAAATTGCCTTTTGTTAACAAAATATCTAACAGTCCCCCCCAAAAGGAAATATTGACTGAAGACTCAGAAATCAATAAATAAATCAAGAAATCGTAAATCAAATATAGGTTGGGCAACCTTTCGTATCGTGAATTCGGGAGAGGTAGCTCTCGGCTTTGAACCTTTCCTTAGTGAGTTCATCGCCACCTGAAGGACATAATGGACTAGGCCTTGAATTAGGCCCCTTTAATCAGGTATTGATGAAAACACACACAATACGCTTCATCTATTGAGCAAAGCGGGTTGAGCGTTAAAGACCATGCTCACAATAAACCGACTCATGAGAGTTTCTAGGGGTTAGCCCAACCCCCCCTAACCGCGGCCTAACCGTGGCCATCACGGTTCCTCTCACGTAGGTAAGTCCTCAAAGGGTACTACAGCTGTTTATTTAATACCCCCCACAATACACGCGTTAGACTTATTAAGAGTAAAACTCAGCCTAGCCAGCTGTATCATAAGAGCATCGTCATCATAGAGAAGGGGTAGTAGCAAATGCTACATAATGATATATAAATATATCTAGGTCGATGCTCCACACGAGAGTCACTTGTCCAGCTTGTTTCTACCACATTGAACCGACATTGGGACTACGTCTCCAAATAAGGGTTGGGTTGCCGCTGTCAGTGACCTCATCTATGAGCTTAACCCCATCTCCCTCGATGAATCCAGAACCACACTCCTGGATAATCCCTTAGTCAAAGGGTCATTAAGATTCTTTTCACAGACTTTACAAAGTCTAGAATCATAACTTTGCCTAGCAGGCGTTGTATTTATTTATCAAGTTCTTATTTTGTAATTAGTCCATCATATTGTTTGAAATTGACATTAGGTCATGATCTATGATCATAAAAGATCATAGTCTATGTCTGAAGAGATTGACCTTAATATCTGAACATTTCAAACTAATGTGGAACTAAAAATTCTGCAGTTATGCATATGCACATACATGAATGAAATTAATAATAGATACATGCAGAGCATAATAGGATTTCGTATCTTAAAAAAATATTTTCGTATCTTAAAATGTATTTCATACTTCATAATTCAAATGCATAAAATTTTTAAAATTCTTCTATTATAAGAGGTTACAAATTGGTTGCCTACAAAGGAGACCGTCCAAATTTAAATCGGTTGCCTACAAATGAGACCTTCCAAATTTAAATTGGTTGTCTACAAAGGAGACCTTCCAAATTTATGTTGCCATTTTCTAGTACCACCTCTTATACAAATAATAATAATAATAATATTTGTACATACGTGCTTTAAATTTTACAAGTGCATTCTTGCATAAAACCTTGTAATTAATCATGTAAAAAATGCAAGTTATCTAAAAAGATATATGAGCATTTATTGCAATATTCATCAAAATGCAATAAAAATGATGAACTTTACATTTGAATAATATAATTCACCATATAAAATAGAATTTTAAAAGATGCACCTCTTTGATTTGGTTCGCTCATATATTGATCATTTATCATTAGGCAATATATGATGCAAGAAGCGTAATTAAATAAATGCATATGAATTATTCTCATAATTCCGGTCCTCTTATTCCAAAAACTCCTAAAGTGAAAAGATTAAAGTTTTACCCGGGTAGTTAGCCAGGTAAGGATAGTAATAGAGGTTGATCAAAGATCAATTAAGTACCTCGTTCCTTGCAGAGCGCGTTACGCAACCCTTAAACCTTGCCTTAGACACCAACTAATCCAAGAAAACTTGAATCGGTTCACTCAATAAGTTTTTGTTCCTTAACAGTATATAGAAACTTTAAATTATTTCCTGTAATCATTTAAAATGCCTAGCAATTATACTGCAAACATATGATGGATAAGGCCGAGGAGGGGTTTACCTATTGATGTTCGAACCTCATGATTTTCATGTCTTGAGAGTAAAAACTCATCTGCTGCAGACAACTGCCACAGAAGTTGCTGAACAAATTTGCATTCACTTTTACCACCTTCTGTACTAAGCTTATTAGATGCATAAATACACTAAAGTATGGAATTATTAATAGAATGCACCATATTAATGATAGCTTAAAGAAATAATAGTATTAAACCATGAACAAATCCAGATATTTCAAAGCATCTATGCATCCAGAGTTTGTTCTCTTTATTCTTGTCAAAACCATGCATATAAAATTTTTAATAATAAAAATGTGCATTGCTACAAATTTATAGCATGTTTCAAATGCGAGCATATTCACTAGCACAAGGGAATAAGGGTAGGTTTTAGATGATTCTAACAAATATAAACTAGGCTTTTAGAAACCAATAAAGGTTGTTTGATATTCGTAACTTACAATAATTATTGATTATAAACCAACTATAAGACAAATGTAATTAACTGTTAAATTAAATTAACAGAAATATTTAGCTACAATTTTTTAATTATTATTTTTTTTAAATAATCAAAACTGTTTACATGAACAGTAACTTTTTTAATAAAATGAACAGTACCGTTTTCAAAATAAATGAACAGTAATGTTTTTTTAGATAAAATTAAAAACTATTTTTTTTAATGAACAGTACAATCTTTATTTTTGGAGTGAACAGTAACAGTTACATTTTTTTTCAAATTTTATAACATCAAATCAATAATACTAATAGATAAACAAATATATAATTAAAGGAATTACATTTTCTTTGTGTTAACAACAACTATAAAATTCCTCTGTTTTTTTTTTAAACAGTAACAATTTTTCTTAACAAAAGTTAATTAATAGATAAGCAATTTAGTAGCAATTTTCTTTCTGATTTTTTTTTAATTCGGATGAACAGTAACCATCTCGAATGAACAGTAACTTTAAAATAATTTCAGATTTAAATCAAAGCTATAAACTTCTCAATCTTCTAGATTGTTGAAAATTTATCAAATAATTAAGATTATAGCATGCAGATAAATTCGAAAAATTAAACAATTAAAACTGGCCTGAACGGGAGCAGTCGTGTATTCACTGCCCTAGAAGATTGAGAACCCGCCTATCGCCCTGGCGCAGATGGTTCCCTCCCCCCTAGCGGTAAAAACTCCCGGAAACGGCCGGCCTCTACACTCGGGCGAGAGTGCAGAGCTTCAGCTCAGATGAAGGAAGTTGCCCATAAAATAAAACTAAAATGTAGATGAAAATAATATGTAGGGGAGAGAAGAAAAACAAGAGAAACTTGTTGTATATTTTCCTTATTATTTTGAGCTCAACATATGGATATATATATATAGGGTTGGAAAAGACGTTACAAAACCCGTAATTAATTCTGTAACGTTCGTCATAAATTTTGTAACGTTCCCCATAATTATATATCCGTTACACATATTTTAATTGCATGTTTTAATTACAATATTTATTATAATTCATGAAGGCAAAATTGCCTTTTGTTAACAAAATATCTAACAGAATTTGGTCGACCGAACCACTTGTGCAGATTATAGTAGGCGGGGAGACTAAAATTCCCCACCAGTAAATGTATATGCATATATAAGTGCATTTGCATATGTATTTCTATTAATAGGAGACCATTAGGAAACAATGTGTCTGAAGGAAATAAAGGATGCACGGCTTTGAAGAACATAACCGAGACAAACACATGTTTTAGGTAAAATTTTCTAGTTCATAAATGTAATGTATACGATTCCATCATTTAATTGCATTACATGCTAACTTTGTAGTTACTTGATTTATTCCAACCATTTCATGAATTATGTACTATTTCATCCATTATCTGGTTTTGGATACTTGTATACAAAGATCATGGATAAGCACTAAAAATACTTGTGCATGTGAATGATGGAAAATCTAGATATATATATATGATGTAGCTAGCTTAAGAGAATAAGTGAATAATATCTTCTTGACTACTTACAAGTAGAGAGATCTTGGTTGCTATTCCCTTTTGTTAGTAATATTATGTGATCAAGTGAAAGTTCATACCCTTCTTTTCAAACTAAGGGTTTATAACTCGGTTTTGGTTCCCGTGTGCACAGGCATGTATGGCAAGTGTTCATAACCATTAGATATGTGGCTGTACATTTAAATTTGTTTCTTTGAATGTGTAGTGTTTTAGGAGCATCAAAATTAACCTATTAGCCAAAAGAGTGTATTAAAATATTTGATGTAATGACCTAAACAAGGAAAATAATTTTAAATTTTTATAAATAAAAGGATATGTAAATATAGTATTAAATAAGGGTTTCTTGCAAAAAAAAATCACCAACCAAGTTGTCTCGTTTACAGCCTCTTGGTGATTCGTTGGCCTCTTTTCATTGGAAGTTTGGGATGGCTAGGATGATGTGTTCATTTTCTGTTAATCCATGAAAACCCAACCCTATGAAATCCCTAGCAGCTCAGACCTCATCAGTCCTCCATCTCTCACAACTCACCTCCTCAATTCCAAATCATAAACCGAACAATTAGGAGAATGGAGGAATAGGAGAGGAGAGGAAGGAAACTTGAACAACACCCCAAGTTCAAAATCAATTGAGGTATAACCCAATCCTCATGATTGACCTAAAATTTCTTGATTTAGAATAAATAAATTTGTCATAGAAACCTAATATAATGATATTTTGATATTTTCTAAAGATTTGGGTAATTGTTTTTATAAATCATATTGAGAGAGAGAGAGAGAGAGAGAGAGAGAAACTAACCTAGATATGACGGGGGTTTTGCTGTCGGTCGCTCCTGGTCGTCGGCGATTCCCTGTTGCCAAATGGGGAGAGAGGGAGGGAGAGAGAGAGAGAGAGAGAGAGAGAGAGAGAGAGAGAGAGAGAGAGAGAGAGAGAGAGAGAGAGAGAGAGAGAGAGAGAGAGATGCCTCTGATGTCCAACCAAAAAAAAGAAAGAAACGAAAGAGAGAGAGAGAGAGAGAGAGAGAGAGAGAGAGAGAGATGCCTCTGATGTCCAACCAAAAAAAAGAAAGAAACGAACAGAGAAGAGAAGAGGAACGGGAATAAGGAGATAAATGAGAGAGAAAAAGGGATTTAAAGTAAAATAACCAAAATTCTTTGGGATCCTTGAAATATTTTTAGTTTGTATATAGGTCCAAAAGATAAAGAGGAATGAAAATATTCGTGAGGATCCTGTTTTTCTAGTAAATTGCAATCAGACCCAGAAAGTTCAAACTTAGTTAGGAATTAAGCTGGGTAAATTGCTAAAATTAGAAAAGAAGCCTACATGAAACCTATTCATAGATAAACTATTATTTGATCTGATTGATTCTAAACTTTGCAGTGATTATCATATAATATATGTTTGTTCTGAATTAATATTAGTCTTATATCTTTATTATAGAATATGATTGATATCCAGAAGAGTAATATTTTGAAGAAGTCGTATCCACTAGAGGTGAGTTCATTTCTCACTAGTATATTTACAATATAAAATTACATGAGTACATAGTACTATGTTTGAATGATCTTGTGATTGAAAAATAAACAGTCTATTATTTTTCGTGTATATGAAAGTTAATTGTGACTTGATCTATTTCTGTTGTGGTCCATGTTAGCCCTTATGTTTTGATGATGTTTTACAACTACCATTATCGGTACTAATTGCTTGTTGAGTGATATTATAGTTAATATATATATCAAGCTTGTTAGTACCACTTATGGAGTATTGGATGGAATATGAGCTACAACGATGATATCCAAAGGAGGATGAGGCATAGTGATGAAGAAAATGTTAATCAAGAACAACACATACAAGTCAAAGCTTCATCAACTCAAAACTATATCAAGACTCAAAGAATTGTAATTCTATGTGAGGATATTAGCTAGTATTTCCTTTCTCTCTAGTGCTAGAATGTAGGCAAGTAGTTATAGATTTCACTTGAAGCTATTGAGATATCACACACACGTTTTTATACTTATATTTTTTAGCGTTTTGAGAAAATATTATTTTTCATAAGTATGAGGACCTTTTCGTAAAATTCCTTTTCCAAACAGTTTGTTTTTAGTGTTAAAAACAATTTACAAAGTTACATAAATTTTTAGAAGTCATTTGAATATTTTTACAGATTTTCTAAAAAGAGTCAAAACTATTTTCTAACTGTATCTGTTGTGTCAGTTCGCCGTCGACCACCACGGTCGATCGGGCCTGTGTCTTTTCCTGAGTGGGCAGCAAAAACTTTCACGGTCGATGGCCATGGTCGACCGTCAGCTCAAAAATTCCCACGGTCGACCGCCACGGTCGACCGCAAAAGTCTCTGGAAATTTTTCGAGCCTCGAAAGTGGCTCACGGTCACCGCGAGATTTTCATGATCGACCGCCGTTTACTCCAATGACCTTTTACGTACAGATTTCAGACGACGGTTTTTACGGGATTTGGAGGATTTGGGTATGAGTTTTGGCTGCAGTGTTTTCTCCTATTTAAACCCTTCATACCCCTCTTCTTCAACCTGTCCCAAGCACTTTGAAAAACTAGAGATCTATTTTTACTGAGAGCCAAAATTTTCAAACCTGTTTTCTGTGTTTTTTAAGTTCACATCCCAGCTTCAGTGTAATCTTTCTTCTTGCCATAGGGACATTGTAAAGAGAGAGTTTTTACATCATTACTACTATAGAGAGCTTGATCTTGTGGAGATCAACTGTGTGGGAGTGAGATCTTGTGGTAATCAACTGTGTAGTTGTGAGATCTTATGGAGATCGTTGTGTAGAAGAAGTTCCGGCTTCCAAACCGAGTTGTGTAGTGGATTTTCCTCGAGAGTGGGGAGCATGGATGTAGGTCAGCGGACCGAACCTAATTAACACATCGCGTGTCATTTGGATAACGATTTCTAACTCTATCTCATTTGCTTTGGTTATTCTCTCTATTGTGTGTTGCTTGTTTTATTTTTTATGGCACAAGTATAGCCTTAAGACTCTAATAACCCCCCTCTAGGATCCAACAATTAGTTTTAGAGCTTGGTCTCTATATTAGTTTTTGGTCTAACCACCTTAGAGAAAAGATCTTATGGAGGCTTCAATGCATATGCATATGCTAGAAGGACAATCCACCACTAGACCATAACTGTTCACCGGTAGTAATTTTGCTTATTGGAAGGCTAGAATGAGGATTTACCTTCGTTGCATTGATCTTGACATTCTAGAACTCATAGAGAAAAAGTATGTAGAAAAGTTTAAGATTGGTAACATGACCGATGGAGAAAGGCACCAAGCTAATCTCAATGCAAAGGCTACGAATACCTTAATTTGCGGTCTTTCCCCTAATGAATACAATAAGGTTTCTACCTGTGCAACTGCATACGAAATTGGGTGAAATTGTGTATTACACATGAAGGACCCCCCAAGTTAAGGAATCCAAAATTAGTGGGCTTATGCATGACTATAAGTTATTTAAAATGCTTCCTAATGACTCCATTGATGCTGTGTTTTCTCGCTTCACTAACATAATCAATGAATTGCATGGTCTTGACAAGCGTTTGACTATCCAAGAGATGAACTACAAGATCCTTCGTTCATTGACTCCGGCATGGGAACCCAAAGCTACGGTCATAGAGGAAGCTCACGATCTTACTACTCTAGCTCTCGATGGCCTCATCGGCAAGCTTAATGTTCATGAGAAGAAGCTCAAGGGAAAGGAGAAATAGGAAGTGCCCCCACGGGAAGTTGAGGAGCCATCACCAAAAATGAAGACCATAGCTCTCAAGGGAGCTAGTGATAACTCCTCATCATCGTCGGATAGTGAAGTTAATTTTTCTAGAGAAGTGGCTCACCTCTCTAGAAGAATATCTAGACGCATTAAAATGAACAAGAAGTTTAATCCCCGATCTAACAATAAATTTTCTTCACGTGTAGGAAAGTGCTTTGAATGCAATGAACCGGGTCATATCGCTAAAGATTACCCCAAGCTCAAGGAGAAATACTTGAAGTACAAGAAGAAGAAAGCCATGCATGCCGGATGGGAGGAATCTGAACCAAGCGATTTGGATAGCAATGAAGAAGGAGCTAAGATTGCTATTCATGATCCTAACATTTGCTTCATGGCTTATGAAAAAGAGGTAGTTTCCGAAACCGAAAGTGAATCCTTTTATATGCAATGTGATCTAGCTACCGTATTAGAAGAATTAAACATTGAGTTTACCGAAAGTGAATCCTTTTATATGCAATGTGATCTAGCTACCGTATTAGAAGAATTAAACATTGAGTTTAAAAGGATGTCAAAAGAATTTTCTTCCTTTAAAAAATTGCATGCTTCTTGTGATTTAAAACTTGAACAACTACAAACATCTCTTGCTTTAAAAGATGAATTGCTAGGAGATCTTGATTTTAAAAACAAATAATTAAGATCCAAGATTGAAAGTCTTGAAATTAAGAGTGGTAGGATTAGACCCACTCATGCTTATGCTAATTACCATCATCATGAGAGAAATAGATTTCATAGATCTCATGCCTCTACACACAAGAGAAATTTTGTGTGCACATATTGCATGAAACGTGGTCATGTTTCTACTCATTTTAGGATTAAAGATAATCATGATTTTTATGGAATGACATGGGTACCCAAAGGTACTAAGCTTACTAACCACCAAGGACCCAAGATTTGGGTACCTAAAGTTACTACACATTCATCTCTTGAAGGGAACATCACGAGCATGACGTAGAGAGATGTGGTACCTTGATAGTGGTTACTCACATCATATGACGGGTAACAAAGAACTATTTGCAACCCTATCAAGGATTGAAGGAGGTAGCGTCTCATTCGGTGGTGGTGAGAAAGGTAAAATCATAGGTATTGGATGCATTGGTAAGATACCTTCTCCCATAATAGAAAATGTTTATTTGGTTAGTGGCTTGAATCATAATCTTCTTAGCATTAGCCAATTGAGTGATAAAGGTTTTGATATTTCCTTTAACCCGGACAAATGCATTGTTAGCTCAAATGGAAAAACTATTTTTGTTGCTAATAGAAAATCTAATGTATACATTTTTGAGATGAATGAGCTATTAGATCAAGATATCAAATGCCTTGCGACGGTTGATGAAAACCCTTGGATTTGGCATAAGAGGCTTGGACATGCGAACATGGAATTGATATCCAAATTGTCCAAGAGGAATCTTGTAAAAGGGTTACCAAACTTGCATTTCATCAAAGATACTATTTGTGAAGATTGTGCTAAATGTAAACAACTAAGTCTACCTTCAAATCCATCAATGAAGTATCAGCTTCTCAACCCTTGCAATTACTTCATCTTGATTTATTTGGTCCTATGCGTGTTACCTCTCTTGGAGGCAAACACTATGTTTTTGTTATCATTAATGATTTCTCTCATTTTACATGGACAATCTTTCTTACAAGTAAAGATGAATGTTTTGAAGAATTTTCGAATCATGTTAAAAGAATTAAAAATGAAAAAGAGTTGAAAGTTGTTAAAATAAGAAGTGATCATGGTGGTGAATTTCAAAATAATTTCTTCTATGATTTTTGTGCACATCGTGGTATAACTCATGTGTTTTCCGCTCCAAGAACACCACAACAAAATGGTGTTGTTGAACGGAAAAATCGCACTATACAAGAGATGACACGAACTATGTTAAATTCTTTTGATTTGCCTAAGTATTTTTGGGCGGAAGCCGTCAATACGGCTTGCCATGTTTTAAATCATGTTTTGATTAGACCTAAGCTTAAGAAAACTCATTATGAACTATTTTATGGCAAAACTCCTTTTATTGGATATTTTTGCATCTTTGGTTGTAAATATTTTATTTTAAATACAAAAGATCACCATGATAAATTTGATTCTAAAATTGATGTTGGTATTTTCCTAG